AAAACCCACTCCCAGAAGTCACTCCTTCCCTGTGGACTTGCACCTTCCAGCCCGATGTCTGGCGGCAAGTTATGGTTAGTGGAGGACGGGATATACGCACAGTGGGGCCCCTGCCCCCTGGGGGGATAGGAGGCCTGGTGGGGGGGAAACTAGACTTTGAACTGACCACACGGAGTCACCAAAGTCAGAAGTGACCAGGTGGAGTCACTGGGGTCACAGAGGTGGGGCCAGTATAGGGAGCAGCTGGAAGACCAGGCCTCCTCTTTCAGGCCCAGCAGTACCCCAGCCTCCCTGGTGTCTGTCGAAGAATTGGAGAACCCAAAGTTCATCGGTGCAGGCAGGTTCGGGGTGGTGTTCCGGGCGCGACACAGGACATGGGGTTTAGATGTGGCTGTCAAGATCTTGAAGGGGTGAGTGACCTGAGCCGTGGGCCTCCTAGGGTCTGCCCAAGGAGGGGGGGCGAGGCACTGCAGGTGTGCATGGGGAGGGGAGGGATTTTCCAGGCATAAGGGGTGGGACTCCAACCCTTTTCCTGGAGTGTAGGAAGGCGATATCCAGGGAGGTGAAAGCCATGGCAAGTCTGCGTAACCAGCACATACTGCTCCTGCTGGGGGTCACCCAGGAGCTCCAGTGGGAATCCGCCTGTGGGCCAGCTCTGGTGACTCAGTTCATGGAAAATGGTTCCGTGGCAGGGCTGCTGCAGCCCCACTGTCCTCGGCCCTGGCCTTTCCTCTGCCGCCTGCTGCAGGAGTTGGTCCTGGGGATGTGTTATCTGCACAGCCAGAACCCCGTGCTCCTACACCGGGACCTCAAGCCCTCCAACGTCCTGCTGGACTCAGACCTGCACGCCAAGGTCAGCCTATCCATATACCAGCCCAGCCTCTGGGCACAGAACTTCTGGACTCCATACCCCCAGCCCTCTCGATTCCATACCCCCAGGATCTCCCACTGGACACAGGGCTGCTGAGGGTCAAAGCCCAACCAGGAGCTTTAGCCCCTACCCTGCCAGGTGTGAGCAACTCTGATCCATATGGTCAGTTCCACAGGCCCATCCACCATTCCGTCCAAAGACCCATGGCTAACCTTGCCTGGGAGACTTAGACCTTGACCTAACCCCCTGATGAGGGGACCCAGACCTCCAACCCAAGGGTCCCACTGGTCCTACCATTCCCCTAACCCTCAAAACCCCCTTTATAAGGCTGGACCTGCACCTTGTGGTCAGAGAAGGGATTATGGAAGCTGCCTGGCCCTGTCCATCCTCTACCTTCTCCCTCTTTCCTCCTTTTACAGCTGGCAGATTTTGGCCTGTCCACATTTCAGAGAGGCTCAAGGTCAGGGGCTGACTCCCCAGAGCCAGCCTACTTGGCCCCTGAACTGTTGTCTGATGTAAACCGAAAGGCCTCCATGGCTAGTGATGTGTACAGGTAAGGTACCCACTCCAAACACACATTCCATACTTCTGTACCTCTCTGGGTCCTTCTAGGGGGCTGTGTGTTGGGAAGGAATCTCTGCCAGCAGTTGGGCCAGGCCTCAGCTTTGTGTCTCCTGCAGCTTCGGGATCCTAATGTGGGCAGTGCTAGCTGGAAGAGAAGCTGAAAGTAAGATTCTGGGCAGACACTGGGATCCTTAACTCTGGGTGCCCTCCTCCTGCAAGTCTCCAAAGCCCTCTTCTTCCAGCTTACCCACTCAGACTGCCTGACTTTCTCCTCACCTCCCCTTGGACTACATTCCTTTCCGGCTTCCACGTTGCAGCAAGTGGCCCCTCCTACCCTGAATGTCTTCTCTTTGCATCCCCCACCCCCATTCCGGCAGTGTCTGGGACATCACTTGAGCAGGAAGCAGGGTGTGAGATTCGGCCCCCACTGACCAAGCTACCCCAACCCAGCGCTGAGACTCCTGGCTTGGCAGGACTGAAGGAGTTAATGCAACACTGTTGGAGCCAGGAGCCCAAGGACAGGCCCTCCTTCCAAGGTGAACTGGCAGTTCAAGTGAACTTCAAGGTGAACTGCCAGTTAGCTGGCAGCCAGGGTAGGCCTGGATCTGTCAGCAGGGGGCTTCTCCTTAGGAAAGTCTGGCTCATGTGCCTGCCACCCACTCTGCCTTGTCTCCAGAATGCCGACCAAACACCGAGGAAGCCTTCAACCTGGTAAACAAGGAGATAGATGCCGCAGTCTCCACAGTGAGTGTCCAATGCCACCCCCCGCAACCCAGGAGCTGGGCAAGGATGGCGTGACATGGCTTCCTTGGCCACGCGATGCCTCCTCACTGGCCACTGTTCTTTGTGCTTTATTCTTTGTCCTCACTCTCCCTTACCTCACCACTGAGTTCCCAGGTAATAGATTATGGACCAAGACACTCCTCTCTTGGGTTTAGGCTGCTTCTCCCACCTCCCTGCCTAGAAAGCTCCCTATGTCCTTGCAGGTGAAGAAGTTCCTGCATGAAAACCAGGGCAACAACAGGATGTCATCTTCTCCTAAGCCAGGCCCAGAAGGGACAGAAACGGAAGGCCCTAGGGGAACCACAGGAAGCCATGACATCATAGCCACGGAGATGCTAAACAAACTAAATCTGAAGGAGATCCCCAGCTCTGTTCCTAAAAAATGTACAAACCTTCCCAAGGGGATCAGGGCACAGGGAGACAAGGTTCAGCCTGCCCAGATAGCAGGGATGCCTTTCGATTCAACAGCCCCATCTCCCCAGACTCCAGAGACCTCACCTTTAAGAAATTGGGTACCCAGCGCCAAGTTGGCTTGGACCCCAGGTCCTGGACCTGCAGGGAATCAGGTGAGACACTGGCAGGACTAGGGGATGCACTAGGACTCCCATGAATCCTGTCCCCCTTGCCAGGGAAGACTTGGGCCTGAGGGGAATGCAGCATGGGAACTAGTCCCAGGACAGGGAACCTAAGAGAGCTGTGCTGTTCGCAGGGGGCTGAGAGACATAGCACCAACTGGTCTCCCAGGGCACCACGGCCCAATCCAATACCAGGTACCTGCTCCTCACTCCTCCTTTCTCCTGCTCAATTCTTCCAGTGGCTTCTTCCTCAAGACCGTCTATAGATCCGGGGTACCTTAGTTAGCAGGAGGGAGAAAGGGCTAGTGGGCACCTACCTCAAGCTTCTCATGTCATAAATGAAGAAATTGACACCCGCTGGGACTGGGTCCTGCTGGGGTCACACAGCAAAGTCTGGATTTGCCCTGGGCCTTCCGACTTTCCCCAGAACCAGCTCTGTGACTCCCTAATTTCCGCCATTGCTATGTTGGTCCAGAGGGGCTCCTAGAAGAAAAAAACCAAATATCAGGGTCTCAGGTATTAGTTGCCACTCCTGAGCTTCCGCAAACCCGGTTTCGAAGGGGCAGCACAAAGGTGAACGCCCAAGGCATATTTGACACAGGCACAGGCCGCCCTAGAGATACTTGCACTTCCCCAGGATAGACACAAGGTGCCGCTGCCTCTCCACCCCGCTGCTGCTCCTAATTTTGAGTTAACCATCCCACCAACACCACAATTTCTCTTCAAGGTAACACTGTTACCATACATGACAGCCACGCGGTGCAGGTGGGAGACAACAACTACTTGGTTATACAAGAAGGAACTGCTTTGCCAACGCAAGGCCTGGTGCCCTGGGGCATGGGTCGAGGCTGGCGGCGTGCCCCACACAAGTAGGTTGGAAAGGAGAGCCACAAGAACCAAGAAGCCTGGAGCAGGCCGGTGGCAGGGCCAGTATGATGCAAATTCTGAGCTACCTCTTGGATGTGAGGTAATTAGCTGAGACTTTCTTTGAAGGCCAACTGATTTGTGCACACGGAAGTCAATAAACATGATGGATTTTTTAAAAAGATTTTATTTATTTATTTGACACAGAGAGAGAGAGCAAGCACAAGCGGGGGAACGGTAGGCCAGGGAGAAGCAGAGCCCCCTCTGAGCAAGGAGCCTGATGTTGGACTCAATCCCAGGGCCCTGGGATCATGACCTGAGCTGAAGGCAGCCGCTTAACGGACTAAGCCACCCAGGAGCCCCAAAACTGATGGATTTTTAACCAAAGCGCCACACTTGGGAGGCTAAGGCTTAGGCCAGGGGCGGTTGGTGGAGACCTGTATGGGAGACCGCAGAATTGACACGGAGGGAGGCAGAGGCCCTGCCTTCTAGCTGAGGCCGGAAGTGGGATGCTCAGGGCTGGGGGTGGGCAGGCGTGGCACACCAGGTCAGGGCCCAGCTGGCGGCAGGAAGGAATCTGGGAGGCCTGGCTCCTGGGGCTGCTGTAATCTCTGGGCGGCGCACTTCCTCTAGATCGGGTGAGACCCCACCCTAAACCAAAAACCTGGGGATAGCCTCACTGCCTCGCTTTTCCTCTGGGCTACGGAGAGGCCACAGTGGGGTTCTGGGGAGGGGGCTCTCCCTGGGCATTGGAAGACCGCGCGGCACATCTTTTGCCTCGAAGTGCCCCCAGCCTCTCAGAGGTCAGCCGACATACTTATTTCCCTCCACCACAAGCACTCACTACCTACACTCCCAGGCTCGTTGCTTCCCAGGCGGAGCCCTTTGACTCTCAGCTGGTGTCTGGAATGGAAAGCTAAGGTTCCACAGCAGCTGCACCCAGTCAGGAGGGGAGGGGAACGGGCGCACCCCAACCCTCCATTCCAACCTAAATCCTAGCCCCATTCTGCCCCAAATTCTTCCCTACATTCTGGCTAGCCTTCACTCTAGCACTCCACTCTCCCCGTGCACAAGGGCTCCACCCCCATTTTGACACTTGCTGCACAGCCTGGCCCAACCCCTCGCCTCTCCCAAGGTTGCATTCGCCTTTCTGGAGGGAGCTGAAGGGCGAAGGCAACGACGGTGTTAGGGGAGACAATGAGGGAGGGAGGAGGCCTGGGGAGTCCGCCTGGGCACGGGAAGGGGCCGGGCAGTCGGGTCGGGGAAGTGGGAGGGGGCCCCCCCTCCCGGCGCCGGGAGGGAAGCGCCTGCTGCCTGGGACTCTGAGCCACTAGCTACTCGGCGGTCGACCGGGACTCCACCACCAGCTGTCCTGGGCTCCCTCCTCGGGCCTGGCCCATTCAAGCCGCGGTAGAATCGCGGGCAGTGAGTTTGGGGGGTGGAGGGAGGACCTCGAGGCTCCTTTTCTTCAATCCCAAATCCTACTTCTCCCGGAGATGAGGCTTTTGCTAGGGCATCTCTGCGGTCTGGGTTTGAGGCGGGGAGGAGCGAAAGATGGGGCAGTGTTCTCACAGCCAACTGAGAAAAGGCTGGGAGGCTACAGGGAGTGCCTGGCGGATGGGATTGCCGCGAGGCTGGGGAAACGGGGTGTAAGTGCCTTGGACCCAGTGAGAGAAGCACAACTGGGGTCCGGACCGGCCACAGGCAGTAACGCTACACCTGGCCCTCCCCAGCCCGGGTCCGCCCTCCACCCCGGCTAGGCACCGGGGCAGGGAGGACTATGGCCCGCCTCTTCAGTCCCCGGCCGCCCCCCAGCGAAGATCTCTTCTACGAGACCTACTACAGCCTGAGCCAGCAGTACCCACTGCTGCTGCTGCTGCTGGTGATTGTGCTCTGCGCGCTCCTGGCGATGCTGGCTGTCGCGTCAGCCAGCGGCAGGGTGAGCGGGGTTGCTTCTGGTGGTGCGGGGCTCCCTCCGGAGGGTGGCGGGAGGGTCTCCGCCTAGAGGGCGTTTTCTGGGTAGGGACTTAGGGCGGGGTCTTCTTTTCACCGCGCGTTCTTTGCCGGAACCCAGGAGAGAAGCACCGAGCCTTGCTAGGAAATGTAGTGACCCTGGACAAGTCACTGCACCTCTCTGGTCCGTAGTTGCTGGGCCGCTGGGAGAAAGCTGAGCCCTGGGTGTTTTTAACTTTTCTCAGGGTACTCACAGACCTTTTGAGCTTCTGTGATCTACTGGTTCTAGAGTAAATTCAACACCGGGTTTTCCAATTTTCCAGAAGGGAAATTACACTGGGCCCCGTGGGAATCCGTTTCCTGGTTTTCTTTCAGAGGGGCTGTGGGGCAGCTGTACCCATAGACTCTCAGAAGGCATCCTCCATCCCACTCACATTTAGTCCCCAAATAAAGCCATTTCCAGTTTCTTTCTTTCTTTTTCTTTTTTTCTTTTCTTTTCTTTTCTTTCTTTCTTTTTTCTTTTCTTTTCTTTTCTTTTTTTTTTTTTTTTTTTTTTTTTTTTTTTTTTTTTT